CTACTCTAATCTTTGGGCACTTTCATTCTACTTAAAACTGGAGAGGAGAGTAGCCTTCACTTCACAGATAGAGGCATGTCAATCTCATCTGAGGCACCTAATGTGCTTATCAGTCTTCTCCAGTCCCGTTAAATCGATTGAGCTCATCAGACAAGACAGTCAGAAATTCTTTGGCCACAAACTTAACCAAGTTTTCTACTCCTGCAATGGTCCCCTGCCAGATATAACACAGAGGGGAAATGTTATTGTAAAGAGAAATTATTGACGGACTAATTACGGTAGTTTGCTTCGACTACCTACGAGGGGAGACACCTTGACTGAACTTTATGGCGTTAGGAAAATCCAGCCACTGAAGGAAGAAACATATTGCACCCCCGTTGAAGAGAATCAAGATAGATATATATATATATATATATATATATATATATATATATATATATATATATATATATATATATATATATATATATATATATATATATATGTGTGTGTGTGTGTGTGAGGCAACGTGGTGGAACCAGGCTCTCGTCAAAATAATGAAATCGAAGAAAACAGCAGTTTTCTCCCCGCTTTGCAATTTTTATCAAATTTTTATTTTTCGGCTCAACACCTTTTCTGTGCATTTACAAACACATTCGTTTGAAGATTTCACCAAAAACGTTGATTAAAGGCACAAAAGTATAAATTTAGTTTCCATGTACTCTGCAGCTTTGAAATTTACCAAGCATTGACGGCCATTTTCTGGCTAATTTTACCTCTTAAACCAGGTGACCCCACCTCCTTCAATCCAAAATATCTCCACTTCTATTGAAGATGGATGGGTAATTTTTTTATTGAAAGCAAAACAAATGAACAAGCTTTAAGGTGATATCAATAACTCAATATGCCCCAAAATAGACGAGAGCCTTATTCCACCACGCTACCTCACATATATATATATATATATATATATATATATATATATATATATATACGTGAGGCAGCGTGGTGAAATCAGGCACTCATCAAAATAATAGTGAAATCAAAGAAAATTGTGATGTTCTGACCGTTGGGAAGTTGGGTTTTTAAATATTTTTTACTGGCTCAACACCTTTTAAGTCCATTTAAAAACGTACTTCTGTGTGGATTTTACTGAAAAAAGCTTTTCAAAGGCTCAAAAAATGCAAATTTCTAGTTTCCAAGGCCACTCAAGCTTTGAAATTTAACAAACTTCGGGGGGTCATTTTTCTCCTAACTTTACCTCTGACACAGTGCACTGCAACCCCCATCTCCTTCAATCGCAAATATTTCGGCTTCTAATCAAGATAAATAATGGGTTTTTTTCGACAAATGCGAGACTAATGAGTAACCTTTAAGAGGAAACTAACAAGTCCATATGCCCAAAATTGAGGAGTGCCTGATTCCACCGCGTGGTATACATTACACACATGTATATGCAAAACTAAAAAAGCTTATTTAAAAAAATTTATAGTAGAGGGTTTTACGGCGCTCGCAACTGCATAAGGTCATATGAGCGCCAAAGGGTGGGTGTCAACAGAGAAGTCTTTACAGGGAATCAGACTTAGACTGCTCACCTCTCTAGCTTCAACAGCACAAGGTCTGCTTCGACTATCAAGGCACCCCAAAATAGCAGGTCACAAGAGAGTGACAAACATGCAAAAGAAGTAGAGGAAAATGACAATAGTAAGGAAAAGTAAAGAAAAAGCAGCAGTTCCCTGTTGTAGATAAGGCACAGTTATGAGCGTGACATGTGTCAGCCCATTTACAATTCTACTATGCTTAAATGAGAAATGTCCCCCCTTTGGGAATGGCCTAAAGACACAAACACAATTGCAAGCACAGTAAGCACATGATGGTGATACCTGATTGATAACAGCGCTACATGAGAAACCCAAAAAATTCTACAAAAACTAAACATTACAAGAGGAAGAAAAACTGTCATAGAAAATAAAACAGAAACTTATAGACTAGCATGCTTAGGCAGTAACAGTGATCCGACTTAACGCTTCAGGCATGCACAGCATATATACTATTATATATATATATATATATATATAAATAGGAAAACATTAATTTTTCGATTTCTCGGCTCACCTAAATAAAATGATATCTTTATTGATCCACATATATATATATATACACAAAAATGAAATTAAATCAATCTTCTGGTTATTGGAATAGCTAATATAGATTCTCCAACTTTTGCCTAATGACTTCTATTAATTTGTCTTAACAGATGAATATTTTTTCATACACATGCACACTGTATTCTTGAAAATTCCTTAAGAATCTTTTCATAAGACACCACTCATTCATACATCATTAGGAAAAAAAAATTCAATTAGATCTAGCACTCTGCACGGACCTTTGAGGCTAAAACCCAGAAATTCAGATACATCACAAAAGTTACCCTGTAAATGGCACCAATTATATCATAATCACAACAATAGCAATACATTTATCAATAGCAATCTTTATAACACTAATAATGATGACAAGAATGATAATCATAACAATGATGAAATAACGATAAAATTCAAAACATAGAATACTTTAAAAATAATAAAATATTATTTCATAACAATATTATTCATAATGATTATAATAATAATAACAATGTTGTTGTTGTTGTTCGTTGTTGTTTTCAAATCCCTTTAGCTGCGAGAATTTCACTCTTGGCAGGGCAAGGCCTCCCTCAAGTAACCACATGTCCTGAATAATAACAATAACAATAGTTAAAAATAACGATAAGAAAAAGAATAAAAATAGAACAATAATAAAAGTAACGGAGTCCATTTGGATCCCACATACAACCAATACTGATCAATTCCCTCACCAAACCTTAAATAAAAATCCCACATTTGCCGCCTCGCCTCTCCCCCCTTCCCAATGCCCCACTTTCTCTGTGTGACATTGGTGCCCTAGTGGTTAGGCTTTCGGACTCTTAATCCTAAGGTTGTGGGTTCGAATACCGTCAAGGGCCCGGCATTGTATCCTTGGGAAAGGCATTTTACATGAATGTTCCTCACTTCACCCAGGTGGGATTGGGTACCCGGCTATAGACAGCGAAATATCTTGTCAGTTTGTTAGGGTTTGAGAGTGTGCAATCAGTAGTTTGTATTGTATGCTTCCTGCCAATGTTTCTGAGTGTTCCAACTGAGAAAGAATATTTGTAAAGCACACAGAACAAGCTGTAGAGTATGGATATCCAATATAAATGCAATTCTTAGTAGTAGTAGTAATAGTAATAGTACTTAGTAGTAGGCCTGGTACTATCATCATAATTATTACTATTACTATTATTATTTTTATTATTATTATATTGTTATCTCTCTCTCTTTCTCTCTCTCTCCTCTCTCTCTCACTGTCTTACAAATTCACAATAAACAGGGATCTGGTATAGCCTGCACTTAAGAATGCCTTGTTGATGTTCCTGGCACATCATGGAATTGTACAATTTTCCACATCTTGAAGTACCAGGAAATGAAAAATGTACTGCACCGGTATCAGAAGGATTCACTTTGTGGATATGACAATTGGTCGCTTCAAAGGACAAGAGGGCTAACCCAGATTTTGGGTGTTTCCAGAAATCTTGACCTACACCAAAAGTGGGCTTTGCCTTACCTATAGGAGAAGTTTGGTTTTATTGGTGTGTATATTTGTTTGGTTATAGAGAAAACTCTAAATGACTTTTAAAGAAACTGAACAAGGGGCAAAAATTTTATCTTTGATTTTCTCAAAACAGCACTTTTCGGGATAGCCCCCTTGTGCTTAAAAGCGACCAATTCATTTCACAAAAGTCTCACTCCTTCTTGCCAAACAATTGCATCATTATAACGATTAGTCCTCTACTGTGAACTGTTCTGTTGTGTTTTTGGGGTGGTTTTTTTTTGCTCGTTAATTAAATTTGCAGTTTTTAAAAAAATTTGTGAATTCACATGTTGTGAATTAATGTAAAAAGGGGTGTTACTGCTTTGCACATGTTATAATAATATACAGTATCTAACCATCTAAGCAGTTTTTCCAGTTCACTCATATTTATATGGTGTGTGTGTGTGTGTATGTGTGTGTGCATCTGAGTGTGTGTGAGAGAAAGAGAAAGAGAGACACAGAGAGAAAGAGAGAGAGAGAGAGAGAGAGAGAGAGAGAGAGAGAGAGAGAGAGAAGGAGAGAGAGAGAGAGAGAGAGAGAGAGAGAGAGAGAGAGAGAGAGGGAGGGAGGGAGGGAGGGAGGGAGGGAGGGAGGGAGGGAGGGAGGGAGGGAGGGAGGGAGGGAGGGAGGGAGAGAGAGAGAGAGAGAGAGAGAGAGAGAGAGAGAGAGAGAGAGAGAGAGAGAGAGAGAGAGAGAGAGGGTGTTTGAATAATGCGTATTAATCTGTGTATTATTGAATCAATTTGTTTTCTTGACAAGAGCTTGTGTGCCTGTGTGCTTGTGTTGTTTATGAGCATGTGTGTATGTTTGTGTGTTCATATGTATGCATTTAATACATACTTGACACTAGGCAACTAAAATTGCGAAATCAAAATGTTTCAAAAAATGAAATTGGAAAAAAGAAAAGAAAAAAAAGTGTGTGAAAATTGTAATAAAGTAATTACACATGTAGCCAACGTTGGTTTACATAAAAAGAAATCTACATTTTTCTGCAGTAGCAGTAGCACTAAGCGAGGGAATTAATTCCGGAATCGATTCTTTGCCCAGCTCTATTCCAAATTGTAATTTTTCAAGTGTCCACTGGAAGACTATGACCCTAACTCTAGGTGAGGCAGCATGGGAAATCAGGCGCTCCTCAAAATAAGGAAAGTCAAGAAACTGGCATTTTCCCGCAGGTTTGGGAATTTTTATCACATTTTTTTTTTGGGCTCAACACCTTTCAAGCCCTTTAAAGAACACATTTCTGTCTGGATTTTACTGAAAAACGTTGATTAAAGGCATAAAAGATGTAAATTCTTAGTTTCTACGGACTCTCAAGCTAAGGAAATAACTCAACTTTGGTGGCCATTTTCTCGCTAATTGTAACTCTGAAACCAGGCGACCCCCACCTCCTTCAATCACCAATATCTTGACTTGTATCTAAGATAAATGAATATTTTCACATCAAAAGCAAGGCAAGAGGACAGGCAATAACTCCATACATGCCCCAAAATTGACGAGCGCCTGATTCCACCGCGTCGTGACACCTATAGTTTAGATTTCACCATCAGGTCTACTACGGCTGGAATATCCGGCAACACATTTCCGGAACGCCTGCTGCCGATGGAACACTCTATAATTAATTCATCCGGGGTAATCTTCGTCCTCGGTAGTCTTGAGGCAGTCCTGTGAGTGTTTGGGTACTTGCGGTTGAGCTGTTCCAGTGTCTCAGCAAAAGGATGGACTTCATTTTTGTGGTACAAATCTGGCTTCTTTGGGTAAAGATCATCACCTGTAACATGCAGTGGAAAACCCAAATATGCAGTACTGTAATTAACCTTATCCGTACGTCGTGTTTTACTATCGTATCCATAGGACGTGGGAAACTCTGTGCCACCACACTTTCCAAAGAGGAAATTTACTTGTTAATCAGATCCTTACTCTTTGCATAGCAGTCTGTCAAAATGATTTTTTGAGATGTATATATACTAAAAGTTTCAAAGAGATCTTTGTACTAGAATTATTCTAAAATGTGAAGAATACAACCCCGGGGGTACAGAATGACCCCAGGGTGTACGGATAGGGTTAAATCAGGCACACATCAGGAAGAAACCGCCATTTTTCCACCTGTTGGGAAGTTTTTGTCCAATCTGTTCCCTTTTTTTACACTCAACAACTTATATGTGCACTTGAAAACACATTTCTGTGTGGATTGCACTGAAAAAAGTCGACTAAAAGCAAAAAAGTGTAAAATTGTAGTTTCCAAGGATACTCAGGGCTCGGAAACCATCAACTTCTGGTGGCCATTTGCTGGCTAATTTCACCTCCTTCACACACAAATATCATTACTTCTTTTCAAGTTAGATGGGTATCAGAGAGTTTACAGTAATTTATTGTAAACCCTCTCTGATGGATATTTTTTTCACCACTTCACGAAAAGCAAGGCAAATGAACAAGCTCTTAGATGACATCTTTTACTCCATATAACAAAAAATTGACAAGCGCCTGATTCCACCACGGTGGGGCATAAATAGATAATATAACAGAAAGTACATGTACTGAAAAGACAACATTTTGCAATATATGACGTAGAAAGGAACCATGCTGGAGAAGGAAAAAGGCAGATAAAATTTTCGCATTAAACACTTTTCTTACTCATGAGCAACTACATAATTTCTATAATGACTTTTACAAACAACCCCCCCCCCCCTCCGCCCCCAACCAAAAAAACCCTCTGTGGGAGGTTGGCTTGAGCTCTGGTATGGTTTGCTCCTTTTTTCCTGCTTTCATACATCTGTTGTCCTAATCTCTCTTTCTTTTATTTTTGTGTTTGTTACTCTCTTGTAACACCTGTAATTTTTGCATGTATACAACCTTTGTGTTGTAAAAGCTGTAAAACTTTTACCAAAACAAACAGAAGACTCTGCTTTCCCTCATATCTCTATGTTATCTTTGGTGAAGCACGAATAGAGTGAAATCATTCAGACTCTATCCTTCTGGTACAGTAAAAAATAAATGAACCCTGCTTTTGTTTAGTTCTAGTAAGGTTTTACGACGCTCCCAACTGCATAAGGTCATATGAGCGCCAGAAGATTAGAGGTTTTACATGAGAGTAACAAACATGAAATAGAAGAAGGGCAGAAAAGGACGATAGATGTTTGATAGGAAAGAAGAAAAGCAAACCACACCAGAGCACCCGCCAAACACCCACTGAACCCTGCTTTACCCTTTCACATTGACTACACATTCTACTAGTAGGATACAACCATCAAAATCTCTTTTGCACGGAAAGAGTCAAAATAGCTTGAACTTTGGATTTGAAAGACAAAACAGAAATTAGCTCTATAAATGTTAGTGTACTATACTTGGGTAAGTTTAGTTTAGTTTTAGTAAGAGTTTTACAGCACTAGCAACACAATAAAGTCGTTAAGTGCCAAAGATTAGAGGTATTACATAAGAGTAACAAACACAAAAAAGAAGGAGGAGAAATAAGGACGATAGATGTTTGATAGGAAAGAAAGCAATCCACACCAGAGCACCCGCCAACCACCCACATACTTGGGTAAGTTTGACTTCTTCTTTCTTCAGAAAAAAGAACACATGTTGCTTCAAGTCTACAAATTACAATTCACACTAGCATCCTCACCTGGTAAGACTGAGAGTAGATAGTCCTGGCACATTTCCATCACAGGTAAAAGCCTTTCTACTCGTTCCCGGTGAGGATCAGAAGCATTTTTCCGGAGATCACTAACAGAATTGAAGTTCAGAAGCCTGGCTATTTCGTAGATTTGAGGAGGTGCAAGACCACCCTTCTTGGAAAACTGCTCCAGCAGCACTAAAGATGGCTTTGCCCACTGCAGATACAAAAGGAAACAGCTTTCAAAAACAAAGTAACAAACCCACAATTTGTTGTCCACAATCACTGATTAGGACAAAGGACAATTGGTCACTTTTAAGGACAAGCGGGCTAACGCAGATTTTGGGGGTTTCCAGAAATCTTGACCTACACCAAAAGTGGGTTTTGCTCTACCTATAAGAGAAGTTTGGTTTCATTCGTGTGAACATTTGTTTGGTTATAGAGAAAACTCTCCTGGTCTCTTAAAGAAACTGAACAAGGGGCAAAATTTTTACATTCAATGTTCTCAAAATAGCATTTTTGGGGATAGCCCCTTGTGCTTCAAAGCGACCAATTGGTTCTTACAAAATGTAGAGTAAAAAAACCCCCAAATAATAATCAAGGAATAAACAAAAGAAATGACAAATCAATCATTAAAACAATTAATGATTGAGAATTTCTAAAAGAATGAGAATTAATAACTTCGAAAAGAGGGAATGAATGCCAGAATGAACCTGGGAGCAAAACAAACAAAAGAATGATACATAGTGATAGCATGGATTTGTGGATGAGTGGTCCACCATGCAGATAAACCAAATGCATTATAGCCTATTAGTTTAAGCTGAATTTACATCATGTGTGTTGGGCATAATTTGTCATGAATGCTTCTTTTGATACTTTTTAATAAAATGTTGTTAAATCAATCCATTCCATATAGCATCGTGATGAAATCAAGTACTCGTCAAAATAATAAAATCAAAGTAACAGGCATTTTTCATCCAGTTTGTCGATTTTTATTGAAGTTTTGTTTTTTCCCTCAACACCTTTTTCGTCATTATAAACACAGAATATCCATGTGAATTTAATTTTACTAAAAAACATAGTTTCATGTTAGCCGTGAAGTCTCGGCATTGAGAAAAATAGGACTGACGTGGTGCTAGCGAGTCGTACGAGGTGATTAAATGACGAACCAGGTCGTGACTCCTGAAACAGAGTCATCCTGCCTCCAGGTCGCGGGTTGAGTCACGAGGCTAACAACCTCTCTCGTAAAAAGAACCTGTTACAGAAACACATACAGGCAAAAACCATTATCTCTGCTTGGCTGATCGTGGATCTTCTCCAAAAGGAGAGTTTATGATTCAAGGCAGAGAAAACCGAAAGGAAGCTGCCGGGCAGAAGCCTCCACCATCATCCAAGTAAACATGGAGGAGATGCGTGGAAAGGGACATGAGAGAAATGAAGCTCACTTGGAATGAGCTTGGAAGGATGGCTCAGGACAGAGATAAATGGAAGGAACTTGTATGTGGCCTATACCCTGCCAGGGGTGAAAGGCATTGATGATGATGATAGTTTCATGGCACAAAAGAAGTAAACATTCAGTTTCCAGTGACTTTCAAGCTATTAGTTTAGTTTTAGTAAGAATTTTACGGCACTTGCAACACAATAAGGTCATATAAGTGCCGAAGATTAGAGGTGTTACAAGTGAGTAACAAACACAAAAAAGGAGGAGGGGAGATAAAGACGACAGATGTTTGATAGGAAAGAAAGAGCAAACCACACCAGAGCACCCGCCAACCACCCATTTTCAAGCTATAGAAGAAGTAACCATACTTTGGAGGCCATTTTCTTGATAATTTACCCCTGAAAACATGCTACCCTCATCTCTTTCTATAGCAAATATTTGGACTTCTATTCAAGATAAATAGATAGTCCCCCCCCTATGTTTTCATAAAGCAAGGCAAAAGAAAAGCTTTCAGATGATACTAACAACTCCAACATTATATCCAAAAATTGACAAGCGATTGATTTCACAGTGTCGCGACACATGACAAAAACTTAGCACTCTTTAAGGGTCATCAAGCAGCCGAAACATCCATTCATCATAAATTATCTCAGCTGTATGTTATCAAGGTCAAATAGGCTCCATTGTAAATTATATACAGCTTCACATGAAGAACATCACACACACACATTGAAAACACACACACACAAACATTGTCATTGCAAACACACGCAAACACACTCATACTCACACACACACATTATACAGTGAAATCCCCTAATGGAACAGTTTTACCGAAACTGAAAACGTAGTTAGTTCTCTAAAAAAGAAAACAAATAAAGTCAGGCAGCCCTGCAGATTTTGGTATTCTCGTAAGTCTCAATAGTTGGGTCCCCAAAAGAGTGACTTAAATGATGAATTTTGAAAATCTCTCTCTTACAAATTGAACCAAACACAATCTCATTTCATCAACAGTAAGTGTCATTGCCCACACAAGGACCTTGTATAGGCAAACTTTGTCAACTTCTGTGACATTCATCATATAAAGACACTAAGTATAGCAATGACCACGAAAAACCTTTTTTGTCAGAAAATGTTTGCAAATAGGTGCATTTTGTACCTCTATCTCCACAGAGAATGGAACTTTTTGAATTTTTGAAATCCATTAATAAACAAAAAAGTTACGGATTTTGTAATCAATTAATTTTTGGTACACTTTTATATAATGAAAAAAACCCAAAATATGGGACGTTCTTTGGTGAGTTTTGAGACAATATTCGTCATAACTCGCTCATTTCTCGGAGTATTTAAATGAAACTTGGCAAGCCAGTACATTTTCTAGTGCAGAATCTAGTCCTGCTTTCAGATTTTTCATAGCTATCCTACTTTTTGAGTTGTGAAGACGTTTATAGGTAAAAATGTGGCGGTTTTCGGCACGTTTTGAGACAATATTTGTCATAGCTCGCCTATTTCTTGGAGTATGTAGTACAGATTTTGATGCCGAATCTAGTCATGCTGTCAGATTTTTAATATATATCAATTATACTTTTTGAGTTGTAAAGACATTAACAGGTAAAAAAGTGGCGTTCTTTACAGATTTAAAAAGATTATCAGTCATATCTTCTCCCAAAGTCATGATATTTGAATGAAACTTGGCAACATAAAACATTCCTCCTTGCCAAGCAATG